GCCGGCAGCGGCCGGTAGCGCAGCCACAGGTCGTAGCCGTCCTCGACGGGGGCGCCGCACGCGGGGTGCAGCAGGGCCGCCAGCATCCAGCCGGCGAGGGCTCGGGCCCAGAGTTTCATGCGGTCTCCTTCGCGTGGCCCGACCCGGTCTGCGCCGGAATGTTAGAGAAAACGAGCTTGTGCAAAGCAAAATGGTAGCGCTACATTTGAGCCCGTCGCAAGTCGGATCACCCCCGATCCACCCACCCGAGGCGCCCGAGCGCCCTGCCTGCCGGAGACACTGTTTGAACCGCGCCCCCGCCACCCTGGCTGTTGCCGCCTGCCCGAGCCCCTGTGTGGCCGGGCCGGCCCTGCGCAAGGCGGTGGAATGACGCTGATCGCCAGCTCGCCGCTGGGCCGCCAGCGCTGGGTCGTCTGCGCGCTGCTCTTCGTCGCGACGACCATCAACTACATCGACCGCAATGCGCTGTCGGTGCTCAAGACGAGCCTGCAGTTGCCGCCGCAAGCTGGGCGGCCTGGCGCTGACCGATGCCGACTACGGCTGGATCACCTTCGCCTTCACGGCCGCCTACGCCGCCTTCCCGCCGCTGATCGGCACCGCCATCGACCGCTTACGGCGTCAAGCGCAGCCTGGCCGTGGCGTTGCTGCTGTGGTCCGCCGCCGCCGCGGCGCATGGCCTGGTGGCCTCGGTCCTCGGCCTGGTGCTCGTGCGCTTCCTGCTGGGCATGGCCGAGGCCGCGCACTTCCCCGCGGCGATCAAGGCCGTGGCGATGTGGTTCCCGCAGCAGGAGCGAGCCCTGGCCACGGGCGTGTTCAATGCGGGGACCGCGTTGGGCGTCATCGCCTCACCGCTGACGGTGTGGCTGGCGCTGAGCTTCGGCTGGCCCTTCGCCTTCATGGCCATCGGCGCGGCGGGGCTGGTCTGGCTGCTGTTCTGGCAGAAGGGCTTTCACGCGCCGGAGCGGCACCCGCGGGTGACGGCGGCCGAGCTCGCCCACATCCGCGCCGGCCAGCCGCCGCAGGAAGCCGCCCTGCACCTGCCCTGGACGGCGCTGCTGCGCTTCAAGGCGATCTGGCCCTTCCTGATCGGCCAAGATGCTGACGGACCCGGTCTGGTGGTTCTTCCTGTTCTGGCTGCCGTCCTATCTGGAACGCGAGCGCGGCCAGAACCCGCTGAAGAGCGCCGGCCTCGTCGCCCTCATCTACCTCGGCTCCAGCGTCGGCTCCATCGCC